GAACGCTGGAACTAAGCGTTACCAGTTTCGCAAAATTAGGAGGTCTCGGAGCTTATAGTATAGATACTGAAAACTTAGTCCTTGGGTTGTGGGACACTGCGTAAAAAAAGAAAGTAACATCTGCCGGACCTCTTGAGTAGTGTGGAAGCAAGTCCTCAAAATGATACATTTGTTGCTTAATGTATAAGTTACCGTTGCATTAATGTCAATCTATTCCTTCAGTTAAGAACTTGAATCTTTCCCAATTAATTGCAATGTATTGAACTACTTATTTCACTGCGAACTTAACACAAAGACTGTTGGTGCCATGTATTATGTAAGATATAGAGCTGAATAAGCAACCACCATCTTCAGGTTGATGAATGATTTTACAGTATTTGATTGAGTTCCACGAGAATTAATAGTTAGAATATCCATGACTACCCTAGGAAACCACGATAAATACAAGAACTAGAGTTCAGAAATTGGAGGTAATAACTGACCCAAAACATTCAAAAAGTTGTTATTTTCATCAGCTGCTCGATTTAAAAAAAAACCAAAGTAAAAGTCGTCGGGGGGGGGGGGGGGGTGTGAATAAATATGTGAGCAGTGAGCGTAGGTGACACAGAATGAATGCAATCTGCGATGTGCGATCCGGTCGAACGGTTAGAAAATAGCCATGGAAAGATAATGAAGCTCAAAAATTTTCTTTTCTTCTTCTTCTAACTTCTGACTCGGGCCGTGACCCCGTTTGTCTAGCCTTTAAATTAGTAAAATATGATGGCGATGAGAGAGATCACTTAATACTCCCGGGATGAAAGGCAGCTCTGTGCCCATCTCTTGGGCGGTCGTCCAGGTTGCCTTTGGCTATGAGGTCGTCCTACCATACAAATCTGGGCAAGCCTTTCCCCGTCCATCCTCTCAACATGTTCCGACCACATTTTCCGGCGCATCGTGGTCCATTTGGCAATATCTTGAATTTGGCACTCTTCACGAATTGACTCGTTGATATGCCTGTCTCGGAGTGTAAAGCCTGCTATTTTCCTCAGGACTTTCATTTCTACGGCCCAAAAACTGTTGTTTAGTGTGCTTCGTGTCTGCCCGGGTCGCCGCAGCGTAAGTCAGCACAGGTCTTACAATCGTTTTATGAACTCTAACTTTGCTCTCTTTAGCCATGTACTTATCCCTCCACACCATTTCATTTAGGCAAAAACTTTCATCAGCTGATAATCGTATGAAACATAGAAAGGCCCGCACTGTTGCCGTTCATGGCATAGAACAGCGAGAATCAAGCGCCAATCACGCGCGTAGCTCGCGGTGTCCGACGGCCATCCGGCAACGGCCGAGACAGGAAATATACCCGCATTGCTACGTCTCTCTTTCCATCACACACGGGCTTACGGGAATATCCGCGACTTCCGACCGCGGTTACTCGCGAACGGACGGGCGGATCGAGAAAAGCGAGCTTATTGCACCCCTCGGGATCAGTACCCTAGGGTGCGTCAAAAAAAATGAAAGTCTGAAATGTTCCGCTCCCCAGGCGGCAATCGATGACGTTTGGTAAAAAAACATGTTTGCCAAAATTTGGGCCAATATCAACCATTTTAAATGGTGCCAAAGGTCAATTTTGTAATGACATTATGATATTTTGGTTTAGACCTCGATTTCGCACAAAAAACTCGATTTTACGCTGAAATCGTGCGTTTACGAGAAAAATGCCAAAGAACTCGACTTGTAGAGGATGAAATTTTACACTAGGAAGACGTCTTGTAACCGATAAAAATCAAATTGAACTAGAAAAACTCAACTCGGTATTTATTTTTTTGGTTCTCAGAATTTCCGAGGTCTTAGAAAGTAGAGGTGTAAAAGACTCATTTTTCACGAAAATAAGTCGAAAGAGGGTGTAAATGAACTGTAGGTAAGTGTTGAGGATGCAAATGTCATCATAACTTCCTCAGTTTCAAAAAAAGTTCCAACAATTTTGCACAATCCTCCAAAAAGTGCACGGCTCGAGAAGCAGGATCGTGCTATAATAGTAAGGGGAAAGAGCGGTTTGACCGGGAAAAATTGCGTAACAAACTTTCCCAATGTAATCGTCATCAGTAGGTTCCCCTGAACAACTTCCTAAAAGTTAAAAATGGCCCGACCCCGGAATACCCCTCAAAAAAGTTAAAATTGAAAATGGCGGCCGTAATAAGAGGGTCCGGGAAATCGGTATTTTAAAATGCTCATTCTGTCTCATCATGTGAGGTATCATTTCCTATGTAATTTTGGTCGCAGATTTCATAAATGAATTCCGCAAGGCCCCTTCTAAGCTTACGTTTCTCTCGGTAGTCGTATGTTTCCTTTATTTTTCTTTATTAAATACATTTATAACATCAAATTTAAGTTTCTTGGCCATAAATACATGAAAATAAAGACAATTCACTTTCCTTGTTCCTTCGGTGAATATTTAAAAAAAAATGCAACCTCCTGCCTTTCACATTTGGCCGCCACCTTTGATTTAGAGCGCCCCCTTTGGCCAGGGGGCCTTGTGGAATTCATTTATGAAATCTGCGACCAAAATTACATAGGAAATGATACCTCACATGATGAGACAGAATGAGCATTTTAAAATACCGATTTCCCGGACCCTCTTATTACGGCCGCCATTTTCAATTTTAACTTTTTTGAGGGGTATTCCGGGGTCGGGCCATTTTTAACTTTTAGGAAGTTGTTCAGGGGGACCTACTGATGACGATTACATTGGGAAAGTTTGTTACGCAATTTTTCCCGGTCAAACCGCTCTTTCCCCTTACTATTATAGCACGATCCTGCTTCTCGAGCCGTGCACTTTTTGGAGGATTGTGCAAAATTGTTGGAACTTTTTTTGAAACTGAGGAAGTTATGATGACATTTGCATCCTCAACACTTACCTACAGTTCATTTACACCCTCTTTCGACTTATTTTCGTGAAAAATGAGTCTTTTACACCTCTACTTTCTAAGACCTCGGAAATTCTGAGAACCAAAAAAATAAATACCGAGTTGAGTTTTTCTAGTTCAATTTGATTTTTATCGGTTACAAGACGTCTTCCTAGTGTAAAATTTCATCCTCTACAAGTCGAGTTCTTTGGCATTTTTCTCGTAAACGCACGATTTCAGCGTAAAATCGAGTTTTTTGTGCGAAATCGAGGTCTAAACCAAAATATCATAATGTCATTACAAAATTGACCTTTGGCACCATTTAAAATGGTTGATATTGGCCCAAATTTTGGCAAACATGTTTTTTTACCAAACGTCATCGATTGCCGCCTGGGGAGCGGAACATTTCAGACTTTCATTTTTTTTGACGCACCCTACAGTACCCGGCAAACGACTAAGTTAGCACCGATTCCGACCAGTGGGAGCGGGGAGGCGAGCGTGATGGATGAGTGAGTGAGTGAGTGAGGGAGCGAGCGAGCGAGTCAGTGATCAATGTATTTCCCTTTTATTAGTTAGAATAGAATTTCATACTAACTTAATAATCTACCTTTTACGATCTTTACAGTTAGCCAGAAGCTCGATTTCCTGGCGCAACTGCTGTGCCGCACTATCATGATAGAGCGCTTCAGAGAATGTGCCCTTCTGACATGTTAGACGTAGATTGTAACAGTCAATTTTTCAACTTTACTTTCGTTGATTCTGACTCATTCGTCCCAAATTTCAAACTAAGGAATAAAAAAGTAAACAAATAACAATGGAATAGTGGTCCAAAACTGCCAAAAAACAATTTTACACAATTTCGGCAACATTGCAATGTGGTCAACTCCTTATTTTTGAACTCAGTGAATGTATTTCATTTTAAATTTCCACCAATTTCACATCATTTGTCAATAAATCTTTCGTCAGATGGAAGAAAAAAAAGTAATGGTCACAAATCGCTAAAAATGCCAATTTTCGCTCATTTTCCAAAGTTTGGCACCCTCAAGTGCATTTAATTTTGCATCTAGCAAAAATATGCTTAGAAGCAATTTTATAGGAAAGGACCCCGCACACTCCTTTTGAGGGTGTGTACTACGATCGATTTTTAATTTTTTTATTGTTTTAAATTCGTCTGAGGATGCTGATCCAAAGTCATCATTGCGCCAACTTTCCACGAGGCACCGTTTTCGCACTATCCTCGGAAAATGTTTCGATTATTCCTTGCCTAAATGAAGGTAGTGCAGTACTTGAGTATGATTCGGGTCGGATGGGTGAGTATAAATTACATGAACAGGAAAACCGATTATCAGCCGAGTGACAGTCTCATCTCAGATTCCACATGCCTTCTCTTTTCACCGTCCACGTCAGTTTCTCTCTCTCTCCCTCTCTATTGACCTTGCAAGACACACAGGCACTGCGTATAGATTTTAGCCGCCCAGTCCCGGAAATTACCGAAACTACAATCGGGGATTGTGCTAAAACGGTGCCTTGTTGAAAGTTGGTGCAATGATTACTTTTAATCAACATCTAGAGAAGAATGTAAAACTATTAAAAAAATTAAAAATCGATCACGGTACACATCCCCATCAGGAGGAGTGCGCTAGGTCCTATAGCAGGCTTTAATTTTGAAAATAGCTCTTTTTGTTTTCTGATCTGCTCTTTGCAAGTCACCGGCCTTAATCTGCCAAAAAAGCCAATTTTAGGTCATTTTTGCCAGGTAACTTGCTGGTTCGAATTTTTTGGCGCCAAGTTGAATTCGATTTAGTGTCAAAAATTATACAGGAATCACTGAACACATAGCTACCCGCAATTTTTGCAGACTCTGTTCCCTATTTGCCTAGACTGAGTATATTTTAGTGAATCTGCTAGCAAGGAGTTCAAATGAACAAACATGATATAAGCTAATCTCTCGCAAGTTGAAACTAATTCTCTTCAAGACTTCAACTGCATGCCTTGTAAAACTTAATTAACTATATGCATAATAATGTCAATAAAAATGTGTAGCAGCTTAACAGTTCATTTCTTCCTGCCGAAGCGCACTACCATGGATTTTAAATTTGTTTATTTACCCGGTTTCAGGTAGTTTCAACCAACGGTGATACTCATCTTGGAGGTGAGGACTTTGACCAACGTGTAATGGATCACTTCATCAAACTGCACAAGAAGAAGAAAGGCAAGGATGTTCGCAAAGATAACCGGGCTGTTCAGAAGTTGCGTCGTGAAGTTGAGAAAGCTAAACGAGCCTTGTCATCTGCGCACCAAGTCAGAATAGAAATTGAAAGCTTTTTTGATGGTGAAGACTTCTCTGAAACTCTGACCCGTGCTAAATTTGAGGAATTAAACTTGGTGAGATATTCTTTTAGAGATGTGTCTTCTTGACATACAGGGTGTCCAGAAGTTAGTGTACTTGACTCTCAGGATCGATTTTTCGGCTCAAAAGATGACTTTTTTTTATCCTATACACACATTCCCACAAATGCTTGATAAGTGAGCTATGCGTTTCTTTTGCTATACTATATGCTTGTTTATAGTCCTTGCAGTAAAAATTGCCCATCCAGCAAAGAGCTCGAAAATTTGAAACTTTCATAGCTCTTTTGATGCGTTTCCGGAAAATTTTTGTGCTCTTTCACACCGTGAAAGCTGTTTTTCCAAATATTATCTACCAAAAAAGTTATCGCATTTTTCAAATTCGGGAAAGCTCGTAACGTCACTTTCCGGAGACGTACGTCCTTGAAAACACGAAAAATGAAGAGAATGCTGCAAAATACTACCTCCATGTAGTTTCAGCTTCTTATGACAAAGTAATGAGGAGTTACATCACTTTGGAAGATAAAAAAGGCTTCTTTGGGAGGAAGCGTATGGCTCACCTATGAAGCCTTTTTGAGCGTAAGTGTATACTAAGGAAAGGTCCTATTTTGAGCCTAAAAATCGGTCCTGAATCGGTACATCAACTCCTGGACACCCTTTATATGGTTGCCCTGGGCTAACACACAGCTTTGAGAGTTTTGAAAAATGATTAGAAATGCGTGCAGAGAAGTTATGTTCCATTTCTTTCCAAAAATAGTGCACAAAGCGCTGGTTGGCTGAAATTTTGGGAAATTTTTTAAATTTTCCAATGGCGTCACAAAAGAACCTCATGCCACCTCAAAATCGATCGGCGCACAGTGGGACGAAATGGGTAAAACCTCAGAGATGGGGTGTTCTCATATTTTGCATAAAGATGTGATGGAATGTATTCCTAAGGATCCATATTATATGAATCTAGTGCTGGTTTTATGATTTTGTCAAATGCTTTTGCCTCCTGGTTTCCTGAAGTTGACATTTTCTGTAACGGCCGATTTTGCTCTGTTTTCTAAGGACGGTTTCCATACCTGCCTTTTCGAGTGGCAATAATTGATATGAATGCTTGGATCTTATTTTAGAGTGTAAGAAGAACACATTCCACTATTTGAAAGTTAAAACTCAATTCTTCACGTTGTTATGTCTGATCAAAGATGACCCTTCCGAAAATAAGAAAATAAAAGTTTGAATAGACTTTTATAAATTTCGCCGCATTTCGCCGTCCAATCATGCGTAAGGCGTGTACTGGTGATCCCTCAGGATGAGGAATCCGTTATATTTAGCTGCCGCCAGTTGCCGCTTTGAGAGTTACATCGATTTTTGTCCGGAAAAGTGAGGACGGAATTTGCTGTTTCTCTACATGTTGCTGAATTATCTTGGCGTCTTAATACACTCAGCCGGATTTTCATTTGGAAACTTGATGCTCTTACAGTAATTTCATCGTAAAATTCAATTTTGACAGTAATTTTGCCCATTTTTTGGCCAAAATTAATCATTTGAGAGGTTTGCGAACTTGCGATGGCGGCGGGGAAACAGAGCTGTTTTTCTTAATACAGGGTTATTCAAAAGTTACGCACCACTGGCCATAACTTTAGTTCTAATTATGATATCGATTTGCGGTTTGTGGCGTCCTTCCTCATATTGAGGGGGAAACTTTTTGAGGTACTTTTCAGTTCTTCACCCCCCCAGGGGGAGGGGGGGCGGGGGGCAACTCAAAAATTTCAAATGGCAACCCCCATCATGTGATACATCGTTAGAAAGAGCATGAAAAAAGAAAATTTTTGGCGCAAACCGGAAGTCGATCTGACCCCCCTGTCAAAAGTTAGGGGGGTCCAAAGGTTATTTAGGGGATCCGTACCTTCATTTTTTAGAGTAGCTTCGGCGGCTCTTGGACATACCGTTTCTCTTTTCAAAGAGTCCTCGAATACTCCAAGTCTGATACCGAAGTCTTTATATTGCCCCCGGGCCACCACAGCCCCCCCGTAGGGGGGGATGGGCCTGTTACAATGAAACATTGCATTAAAATGCGAAAAGTCACAGAAGAGCTTCAAACTTAGTATCAAATCCGAGTGGACCTTCTTGCCAATGTTAACGCAAACGCAGCCTGCGACTTTAACGTGAGTTTTCAAAACTCTTAGCCCCCTGCCCCCCCCCTCATTTTTGGTTGCAGAGCGGGTAAAAACCGGGAAATTCACTACAAATAATGCCCGAAACTAATGTCCAACTTGAGGAGGACCCTTGAAACGTTGCGATCAGTCGGAGCATTGAAATACAAGGACTGCCACCCCCTTAAAGTACGGAAACATCCAAAACACCCCCGCTGCCCCCCTCATTTTTCGTTGCGGAGCGGGTAAAAACCGGGAAAATCGCCAGAAATGATGCCCGAAACCACTGTAGAACGTGACGAGAACCCTTGAAACGTTGCGCTCAGTCGGAGAACTGCAACACAGGAACTGCCGCCCACTTTAAGGACGGAAACACCCATAAAACCCCCGCTGCCCCCCTCTTTTTTCGTTGCAGAGCTGGTAAGAACCGGGGCATCATTTCTAGCGATTTTCCCGGTTTTTACCCGCTCCGCAACGAAAAATGAGGGGGGCAGCGGGGGTGTTTTGGATGTTTCCGTACTTTAAGGGGGTGGCAGTCCTTGTATTTCAATGCTCCGACTGATCGCAACGTTTCAAGGGTCCTCCTCAAGTTGGACATTAGTTTCGGGCATTATTTGTAGTGAATTTCCCGGTTTTTACCCGCTCTGCAACCAAAAATGAGGGGGGGGGGGCAGGGGGTTAAGAGTTTTGAAAACTCACGTTAAAGTCGCAGGCTGCGTTTGCGTTAACATTGGCAAGAAGGTCCACTCGGATTTGATACTAAGTTTGAAGCTCTTCTGTGACTTTTCGCATTTTAATGCAATGTTTCATTGTAACAGTCCCATCCCCCCCTACGGGGGGGCTGTGGTGGCCCGGGGGCAATATGAAGACTTCGGTATCAGACTTGGAGTATTCGAGGACTCTTTGAAAAGAGAAACGGTATGTCCAAGAGCCGCCGAAGCTACTCTAAAAAATGAAGGTACGGACCCCCTAAATAACCTTTGGACCCCCCTAACTTTTGACAGGGGGGTCAGATCGACTTCCGGTTTGCGCCAAAAATTTTCTTTTTTCATGCTCTTTCCAACGATGTATCACATGATGGGGGTTGCCATTTGAAATTTTTGAGTTGCCCCCCGCCCCCCCTCCCCCTGGGGGGGGGTGAAGAACTGAAAAGTACCTCAAAAAGTTTCCCCCTCGATATGAGGAAGGACGCCGCAAACCGCAAATCGATATCATAATTAGAACTAAAGTTATGGTCAGTGGTGCGTAACTGTTGAATAACCCTGTATCTAATATGTTTATTTGGCATTTTAAGGAAAAAATCAAAATGTTGAATGTTCTATCAATACCTTTGAATGAAATTATCATAATAGAAGTTTCACCCCCTGACCACTTTGCAGCCCATCCTCCCGAAGCGCTTGGCGCTTCAGGCGTGGTATAGATAAAATCCTATACAAAGCGATGGAAGTGTCCCAACTGATTCTGAGGTATCGTGATTTGTGATATGAGATGGACGGATTTACCGTGCAATTTAATCTTGTTGACAGGGTTGATCGCGATGGTGATAGCGATGATGTCGTAACTTAAAGCGGTTATAGCTTTTATGCCCTGCAATGGCTATGTATAAACTTAAAATTGTGTATAAAGTCTTAAGCCCCCCCCACCCCCAAAAAAAATAAAACCTTTTATATTCATATCTCTCTATGAATATTTTAAATTATAGGTTCGAAATTGAGGACACCGCACCAAGAACAACCTATAGGCGTATAGGTCGTTATTACGCCCATCTGCTTCTCAACTTCTACGTACCCTGGACTATGCTGTGGTAGCGATAGAATATAGATAGGTAACGGCTCGAGGTCGAAAAACCTTTTTTTTCCGAGTTAAGTCAGGCCTCTGCATCGATGGGTGCAAGAACGACCTATATGCGCGGCCTTATCATTCTCGGTTCGCGGGCATCGGCGCGGCGATAGTAGAATTACTTTATTTTTTGATCTCATTTATAAAGATTTGTTTTTATTTCAGAAAAACGAGCTATTGAAATAATTTATTCTCCTCTTAAACCATCCATTCCTCCAAAAATGTATACTTCGCATATTGCCACCAAAATGACTGTTGGGCGCAATATGGGCCTATAAACTTAAGGGCCCATAAGGTGCTGGTTACCCCTTTCTTTACTCACTATCGATATTCTTTCATTTTGCGTTAATCATGGGTGATTAAAATGATTTATACTTCATATTGCCACCAAAATGATTGTTGGGCGTAATAATGGCCTATAAACCGCTTTTTTAAATTAAATATATTAGAGTGTAAACCCAAAATGGATCGCAAAATCTACTCGGCATCCTTCAATAGAAGGGTCAGGTCACCCAAAAACACCAAAACAGGGTACCTACATAGAAAAGTCTACGCAGTACATCAAAAACAAAACTTCAAATGCGTTTTTCTCAAAACGCGGTTTCCAGTTATAGGCTGTTCTTGGTGTGTTGTCCTCAATTGTTTCTTGGAATCATATTAAACTGGAATTTTTCATTTGTCTCAGAAGGTAACGGTAAAACCATATTTTTTTTCATAATGGATAGAAATATGAGCATTCATTACACTGAGAGACCACATAGTGTCGATAAAAATTGCTTACTTTTGTCCTTTGATCGAGCAATTGAAATATTTACAATCAAATTTTTATTCCTCAATGAAAATATCACAGGAAATCAATAGTTGAAACATGAAATGTCAATGGGAACAGATAAAATCTCTGCGTATATTTTCATTGTGCATTCCGATCGATTTTTTAATAAAATCCTTCAAAATCACGTATGCATGTAAAGAAAATAACAAAAGCAAGCTCAAAAATTGGCTTTAAGATGAACGTATGATCGTGCATCAACGATTTAACATGTATTTTTTTACCAGAACGAG